AGCCCCCAACAGGAAAATAAAATATTCAAAAAATATATTTTAAAAGGGGTACAAAAAAAAAATAATTTTTCACTTTCAGTCTGAAGATTCCATTTCGGTGCACCTCTAAAATAAATAGATATGCATAGATATATTTAAACAAAACAATCGTAACTATATGTATATTTGTTGATTTTTTGTATCCTCTCATTTCAGATTAATGAGCGGTGTGAAGAACAATGTTGGTCGTGGCATAAACACTGCTCTAGTGAATGGTAGGTTGTGGTTTATTCATCTTCAGGGTGATAAATGTGCCTTCATTGCAAAACTAATAAAGGAAATCCACAAAACTTAAATTGTGCATCTACAATTTAAGTATTAAAGCTCTGCTGCTCACAAAATCAGTTCAGCCAGCATCAAAATGTTCTGGCTCCTGTTAAAATCCATTGTCCACCGTTGCCTGGAATAAACGACTTTGCAGTTAATCGCATGTTTGTGAGATTCCTTTTGTTCCTCTGATTACCAGAATCTTCTGGATAATATGCATTAGTTTGGTCACAAAATAAATCTATAAATATATTCTATATATTTTTTTTCTTCCTAAAGAATGGTTAATAGTTTTTGACCTTTTTGAAATACTGGCATAAATGGTGATATATTTTTTTCCCTTTTGCTTACTATAAAAACACTGGACATGAATGGCTGTGTAATTTCCATATTCAAACTGCATATTTGAGTACTCTACTGAAAATCAGCAAATGTGTGTGTTTTTTTTTTTTGTTTTTTTTTGTTTTTTTTTCCTTTTTGTCTAATGCTCCATGAACAATTTCCTGTATTCATTAAACTCTTAATGCACTAAACATTTTTTTTTCATTTCTTCTTTGTATATTTTAAGTGCTTGTTAAAGGTAAACTTTTGTATTCTAGGGAAAACAGGAGAGCTGATAGAAACCAAGTATTATGATCTCTGGGGAGGAGGTAAGAATGGATTTGTGCATTCTCACATTGCCTTTAATTGTAGGATCATAAGAAGTAAAAACTGTACTGCACACTGTATTTTCCTGTAGGTAAAATAATGTAGCGTTTACTCAATAGTTCTCAGGGAATTCAAGTGGAGAAACACTTGGGGGTGATGTGAGCTGAACATGTTCAGCTGAGCTGATGTGCAGAAGCCGTTCGACTGTTCACTGTTCAGTGAGTGAATAGCTGAATGACCTTGCCGCTAGCTCCGCCTAACTGTTTACATTTGGCCGGCACCTGCCAGAGTCTTCCAGCAGGTCCCGGGCACATAAAAAAACAACTGGGCAGAGCTGGCCGTGATGTCTCTGCCCAGTTGTTTAATGACAGATCAGCGCCCACAGGTGGGGACACTGATCTGTTATTACACTACAACAGCTGGGCGGAGCCAGCCGTGACATCAACGCTGTCTCCGTCCAGCTGTTGTCATTTTGCAGGGAGGATGGTCTGCTTCGGCAGACCGTTTGCACAGCTTCGGGCTGAGACTACGGCTCAGCTGAGCAGAAGCATATGCCGAAGGACTCCGGTGGCCGAAGTGAGCCGAAGGATCAGGCGAAGCTACGGCTGGATCCTTCTGCTCCGTAGTGAATAACCCTCTTTGTGTTCAGTAGGCCACCTGTCCTCTGTATCCTGCAGCCTATTTTCTGCGGATGATTTAAATGTTGCAGTAATAAAAAAAAGCCACAAGATGGCAGCGCAATACTAATTTTTGGCTTCTAAATGAATCCAACAGCTCAATAAATTATAAGCCTCTTTAAAAGCAGACAATTTCCATAAAGTAATTATATATTCTTTTGTTTTTCTAGATGTAGCACCTTTTATTGAATTTATTAAGAAAATTCAAGATGGAACAATAGTGTTAATGGCAACGTATGATGATGGAGCATCAAAGTAAGTCAAATAAAAAAAATGTTTCCTATTTGAATCTACCAGGTGTTGCTTTAATGGCACCTATCAAGTTGAGGGTTATAATTACCATTTTTATTTTAAAGTAATTCTGACAATCTAATTGCACTAACACTGGAGCTTTGGAACCAGCAACATAAGGGACCTACTCCAGCCTACATGGAGCTACCGGACGCCTAAATATGTTCCTGGGTCCTCTGTAAATTCTATGGAAACAGACTTTCTGAAGGCTGCCATTTGCATAAAGCTAGGTGTAGACTTGCATGTCTCCTCCACATTTAGCACAATATTATCCCGTGGTATATCAGTTCTAAATGTTTTATTTTCCATACCAAATACCCCGACAGGTACCATTTTATGTGGCAACTTTTAGGGGTGTATTTATAAAACAGTTGCAGAGCCCTTTGCTGTGCGATCATCTGACTTTTTTACATTTGAACAGCAATAGGGCCACTAGATGGAGCCAAGGAGCATTGCATTGGGCAGCACAGTGGCGTAGTGGTTAGCGCTTCTGCCTTGCAGCACTGGGGGTCCCTGGTTCGAATCCCAACTGGGGTCACTATCCCGACTGGGGTCACTAGAAGTTTGCATGTTCTCCCTGTGCTTGTGGGGGTTTCCTCCGGATACTCCGGTTTCCTCCCACACTCCAAAGACACACTGGTAGGTAGGTTAATTGGCTCCTCTCTAAGTTGGCCCTGTATGTATGCATGTGAGATAGGGACCTTAGATTGTAAGCTCCTTGATGGTAGGGACTGATGTGAATGTGCAACTATGTAAAGTGCTGTGTAAATTGTTGGCGCTATATAAATACCTGCAATAAATAAATATGATGTCAGATGTTCACAGAATGACCAGCTCTGCAAACGTTCTATAAATGCAGCAGGGGTGGATCCTCCAGTTGTTGTGGAACTGTGCAAGTCCCGTTAGGCATTGCAAGACTGACAGTTACAGACATGACTCACAGTTGGGATTTGTAGTTAAATCACAGCTGGAGGGCCAGAGTTTCCCACCCGTGCACTAGATCTGTATTGTTTAGACTTTTTTTTTATGCAGTTACTTGACCATTATGTAAACATGATTTTTATGACATTACAGACTCAATGATGAAGCACGGAAAATAATTTCAGAGCTTGGAAGTTCAGCTATCACTTCTTTAGCTTTCAGAGATAACTGGGTGTTTGTCGGTGGAAAAGGTATTAAGACCAAAAGTCCATTTGAACAGGTAATCTTCTAACCTTGAAATGTTTTGTGGCTACGCTTGCACTAATGATTCACTACAATATTGTTTCATTAACCAGTTGACATCCGCGGTGTTAAACCCCCTTCCCATCCAGGCCATTTTTCAGTATTCAGCGCTGACATATCCTTTGTTGTATGTCAGTTAATAAAGGCACCAAATGTGTCTTCTAAACAAAGGGAGCTCTAGATAAAATACTTAAGGGAGATTGCAGCATCTGAAAGTAATGGGAGTTGGTTACTTGACAATGGAATGACTAGGGAGTAGAGAGGGTAGTTTTGAACAGTTTGGTTTTAAAGAACCATTTTAGACCCCATTTGCAGGGGCATTCTGGGATTCCTCTGGCAGGAATCCCAGGTGTCCCGTTCAGATGAAGCCCCTGAACCCATTGAATCAGTTCGGATGTAATCGTATATGGTACAGATACATGTGGTTTTGAATAGTTGATTGTTGCTGGACGCATAATTCCTGTGGCCCCTGTCATTTACATCATTGGGTACAGTGGCCGAATCTGGACGAGACAGCCTGTGTGAATGTAGCCTAAAGGTGCAGGTGTGTTGGTAAGAAGAGAAGACTGATCCTGAGAATGAGACCTGCTTGATAGAAATCATGTATGTATGTATGCATGCAATAAGATTTTGAAAGAGAAGAATGGTAACAGGTTATTGCAAAAGCAGAAAGGGCAAAGTTGAACTGATGGGGTTTAAATTTGAAGTCAAGAAAATCACACTTTAGGCCTTTGGTTACATGCGCTGCTATTTGCAGCATTCTATTATGCAAGGCAGTGGATTGTTAGGTCAAGAACCATGTCATTTGGCAGGAACAGCTTTAATCTGTGCAGATGTCAATGTGCTTAAGTCCTGTAAAGCTGCTAGGTTTGAATAGGTCAGATTTAGAGAGAGTGGAGATAAAATGTGGAGGAAGAAACTCTGGTTTATATTGTGGAGAGCTCTATTGCAGACAAGCAGGTTTTGGAGTGGGAATGGGAAGACATGGGGATGTTGAGCATTATAAGTTTATGACTGGTGAGTGGAGAAAGTGAGTCAATAAAGGGGACCATTTTAAAGCTTTGTAAAAGTAATTTGTTGCCCAAATCAAACTAGCAGTCAAGTTATTTTAACCCTTTGATTGCAGTATGGGATACGTTCTTAACATTTAAAGGGTTAGTCTTCATTCGGATTAGACATATCTGTGAATTTACCCAACGAGGTCAGAAGCTATAATTCCTTCATATATAAAAGTGGACTATGTTTCTAAAATATTTTTATTGTAAATGTGTGCATCTACAATAGTAGACAAGAGGTGAAACTTAGACACTTCTTGTCTCCAAGGCTACTTCTCCTCGCAATACCTTCAGAAATCCAGTGCCATCTTTTGTTAATCTGTCCTGGATTAAGACTATGGTCTAGGGATAATTAAATTATGTATATCCCATTTTCTGCACAGCAGTTTTATTTTTATTTTTTTGCTGCATTCCCATTCTGTTTCATAGAGCTTGCCCTCCCTTCTGCAACCTCTTACTCTCTCACCAACCAGTGTAAAAATACACCGCTGGCACCGGTGTAATAGAGAAAACATTGATTTCTGCGGTATTCAGTTTGAAAACTGACATTTTTTGAAACTTGAATAGTAGCTGAGCTTGAAATCACTTGTGGAGATTGTAGTTAAAAGAAATTGCATCTCTAGCATCTGATAGTGATGGAATCTGATTGGCAACTGTTATTAGTGAAAAAAGTATAAATTACTATTTACATTAAAAAGTATTTGTGGGGCGATATTTGTACAAGGTCTCTTGTCTAACGGACCTTTTTTAAATTATGTATTCCAATTTCCCTTTTCCTAGTATAATACGGTAGGTGCTTGGTCACATAGCGTAATCCTAACAACAATGATAATGTCTGGGGAATATAGGTTCTAAAAAGGTTTTCATTCAAAAGGAGTGTAAAATCTGTACATCTATGATCCATGCCTTGACTGAGGAGACTGGTTATTTTCTATGCAACTTGGAATTCTTATCTAGGGAACCTGGACATAGTAAAAGCACTGATTCACTGTTTATGGTAAACCTGAAAGAGGTTGAAAGGTGAAAGACTCAAAGATTGGATTACCAGTAATAGTGTTTAAAGATTTGGGAAGCTCGATGAGGTAAATCTAGGTATTACTGTATATAGTCCCAAACATGCTGGAAATGGCGCACCAGGAAGAGGATGGCATTCTATTTAGAATGAGAGAAGAGGGGCTGCCAAGTGAGGGAGGCAATTCTAAATAGTTGATCATCTTCCTGTATCATCCAATCTTTTTGTTGGTGAACTCTAATCTAAGTTTGTTTGTTTTGGGTTTTTTTTAATCCTCCATGCCCTCTATGCTTGCTTATATTCTCTGCTTCTAATAAAACTGAAATGGATAATAGACATTTGATACATTTTTTAGCGCTCCTGTACATTGCTATAATTACTTTACTGGTAACTACTGCTGGCAGCAAAATCTTGCTTAAAATAACTCCTCTAATGGTCAGTAAAGGTATACAAATCTCCTCTTTCATACCTGTAGCTTGAATTTCTGTATGTCTGCATGTTTACGACATGCGTTTATATGCATACAGAAACAGATATTTATTTTCGTTGTACAGATCTGAATGCAGAGACTTGCTGATCTGTGCAAGAGCCCACAGAAAACAATAGACCTGCATTCAGATCCAAAAAAGCTGTATTGTTAAAAAGACGGGGGGGATTTATTGATGCAATTGTGACTGTTTGAACTTGCATGGGATATATTTCACGATTTCAGATTTATGTTTCTGCTGTAATTGTTGTTCATAAATGAGATTAAATAGACTCCAGGAAAGAAGACTCGCAAACTCCAGGCAAAAAGCTTTAAAGGAGAACTATGGGGTTAAGGCTTTCCCCATAGTTCTCCTTAGGGTAACGGGAGGACACAAACTAGCGTCCTCCCGTCACCCTAAGCTCAGTATACCGCAAGCTGTAGCTCGCGGTATACTGAGACGCCGCAGCTGAAGCGGATCCCGACAAATATGTCTGGATTTGCCCAGCTGCGTGACTGACAGCTGGGTCTGCCTATCTAGAGGCAGAGCCAGCTGTGCCCACCCCGTCCGTTCTGCCAGTCAGCGCTGGGGGAGGGGGGAATCCAGCCCCTCCCCTGTCACGGCAGAGAGCCGTGACAGGATCGAGAGGTGAGCGAACGCCGGTATGTGTTCGCTCACCTCCTGATCTACTAAGCTGACCTGTGACAGTCTCAAAGTGAAAAGCACTCGCCTCATAGTTCTCCTTTTAACTGTTGCTTCTTGAAGATATGGCCATCAGGACTTCTTAAGTTGTGATTGTTTTGTTTGGTGATGTGCCGGTTTCAAACAGCCGCAGGACAGGCACACATGTAATCAGTTGCGAACTACCGCAAAAATTCGCAATCAGGAAAATAGCGCATGCTCAGGGCAAACCAGGCGCACATCTAAACAGAAGCTGCTAAACATAGTAGAAATTGCGTTAATAAATTCCCCCCAGCATTTTTTACTATCGTATGCGTGACCCCTATGGGGATTGCTTAAAAAATATATAATGCTTCTGAAAGAATGTCCATTTTCAAAACAACTTCCTCAACTAAGGTGATCCTAAATTTAACCACTTTGAAATAAGAGACTTAGAGGTTTGCAAAGCTTTAACACAAGAATAAAGATCTTTATTTTAGCCATGTGACTATAATTTTCAAATCATATTGGTCTCTGCAGAAAAATAACTGTCATTTTTGTAATAGAAGTATTCTTATGCTGGTGTGCTACCTTTTTGTGAATGAACCCTATAATCCAAGGGGTATAATTCAGGGGATAAAAAAAGAAAATGAGCAGTTGGAAGTCAACCTCTCCAAGTTCAAGGAAATATTTCAAATGTACAATTTTTGTTGTAATTTATAAACAATTTTGAAGTAACCAAGCAAGCATCAGAGTGTTGACATTCATTTTACCATCAGGTGACTTCAAGTTTATCTAGAGATGTTCTTTTTTTTTTTCTTAGCACATCAAGAATAATAAAGACACAAACAAATACGAAGGCTGGCCAGAGGTGGTGGAAATGGAAGGCTGCATTCCTCAGAAACAGGCTGAGTGAATGAAGCTGGTAGAACACTTCAATAATGGACTTGAATCAAATGCATCTCAGAAAACTTGTACTTTTGGTATACTGAAAGATTTCATCAGTCATTGTTGATGTGAGCATGAGTCTACACTCTTGAGTGTGAGAAACGTATTTATTGTTGAACTAAATAGGTATTTTTGTAAAGACTTATAACTATAGAAGACGAAGAAAGAATAGTTCAGAATATGTGCGTTATCCAGGCTGTGGTGCACAGCCGAATGAACTGTTATGCAAGTCATGGAACTGTCGCAGTGGCACTATTCATTTTTCTTTTGAAAAGTAGCTTTTTTTTTTCCGTTGGGATATATACCACCAAAGATTTTGAGGGTTTTTTTTTTTAATTTTTATTTTACTTTTAATAGAATTACCCTTGTTTGCACCATAGCTGTTTAATAAGCATTTGTTTTTGTATTTGAGTAGAATTTTAACAAACCGGTCTCTGTCTACTGGTTTTTCTCCCCCCCCATGCCTATTATACAGGACCACTTTACTAATGAGGGTTTCTAGTAAATGGCACTCTCTGTAATGTGCTGTACTTTAGAGAAATTTTAAAATGGCTGCCATCAATATATCTTCAATGTAGTGTTGAAGAACCAATATTAAAGGTCTACATTTTTACAGTACATAAAGAAGCACAAGAATTAAATATGCATGTACAGTATTTCAGTTACGTAATATTGAATGTTTTATAAACAGGTATGTGTTACACTAAAGTGCCTGTTTATAAAGAATACCTTTGCTCCCTACACACTTTTGGCCTCATTCCCTGCCGAAACTTGCTTTGGTGTTTGTGAATCTGATTTATGGAACATTTTACACCCAGTGTAATAAATGATATAGACAAATTGGGGGTTACAAGTGTAGGAATGCAGTAAAAACCGGGTGTTGGGGGCATCTATGCTGCCTTCGGTATTCTCGTTTCTCTAGATCCCCTCCACCAAATACAATGGATTCATCCAGGCTTAGGTACTTCTAAACTCAGATTGACAATAGATTTTTCTATGGCACCTTCGTGGCAAACATTGAAAAACATGCCCACAGCAGGGTTTGTATACCGTCCAAATCAATGCTTCTCATAAAAGAAATGGCAAAGTATCGATTTCTGCTTTTATAAATAGGCCACTGCTAATATATTTAATACTCAACATTGGTCATTTAACATTTCAAAGATCACTTTCTTTTCTTTTTTTCCTTCTTGAGAGGTTAAAGTTACATTCCAAGTTCTACATTAGTTTGCTAATGAATAGTGACTGTTCTCAATTAAGAAATGTGTATAGTTTAATAAATTTTACTTCATATTTCTATCTGTTTCACAAAAATGATGTTTCATGAGTTTTCTGAAATCTCCACAAAACACAAAATAGTACTCATAGCATCTGTTACTACCACATCCCCAAATTCTAGCTCTCCTTCTACTGCTTATAGAATGCCAGCCATTTTATGTGTAAAGCTCCAATTTGTTTTTGGAGCTAAAACAACTTCATGCATTTACAAATGAATATCTTAGTAGGTAATCCTAATGCTATTTTGCATCTTCCTCCTGGTACTGGATGCTGGTCTAAATCCCTGGTGGTCAGGAAGGTCACCAGAACTAGTGTCCTCCATTAGAAATGTTTTTTTTTATGTTTTGATGGCCACCTCCTAATATTTGGGATTATATTTATCCTCAGTTTCAGTGACGGTCATCCGGACAAATGGAGAGAATAAGAACCATACAGGAATCCTAATCTTAATCTCTCCATTATATATAAAACTAAATGTCCTATTAAATTTATACAAAGCAACAGAATACTGAAAGCCACAAACTTGGCGATTTGGAGGAGGAGAACCATGGGACAGGGTTGCAGCACCAGAGCTCAGAAGATCCTGGAAGATTTAGATCTTCAGAGACCAGCATGAAGCTGCACATGTAGTAAGATTCTGCTGGGGGGG